CTATCCTTCTAGGCCAGGGATTTGGCTCAGCAGCAAGCACAAGGTCCTGAGTCTGATCACCGATACCAAAAAAAAAAAAAACCAAAAAAAACAAAAACACTATCCTTCTAGTGGCAACTTGCAAAATTATTCATGTATCACATTCACAAAATGGTTAAAACATACACACAGTCTATACCTTCAAATTTCTATCCACGGTTTTCTAAAAACGTGAAAATGTAACTCATTCTGTTTCAATACTATAAAATATAAGAAAAACCTTGAGACTCAAATACTATAATTTATATGTATTTTTAGTATATGTATTGCTATATATTTATCATGACAAAACCATACTTTTAGTTTCCATGAGGCATCTTTGAACAAATGAGTATTTGTCACAAAAAATTAAAATGAATGCTCACATCATAGGCTCCTTGCCTTAAAAACACATTATTCACATTATCTGTGATGAGAACAAAAACCCAGTCACATACATAGGTAAATAGAGCTGATACTGGATCTTCAAGATTATTTTCTTTGTAGAGAGACAGAGAAAGAGCATGAGGAAAATGAATTGAGACTGTAAATTCAAACAGGCACATGTTAATTATAAGACTACTTTTCCTATTGCTTTCTTATGAACAGCAACAAAGATCACTCTCAAAAGCTTAACCTCGTGAATTAAGTCGCATCTTTCTAGTTGCAACTAACAACAATCACAATTTCTAGGTTTGCAATAAATAGGTTTCTCCTCACAGATGTTGAAACAATGTATTGATCATATTTCAAGGCTTTGCTGAAGACAAAATATAATTTAAAAAATTCTACCCTGAAATTAGTTTTCACTATAACAGAAAAAAACAATTAAACCTAGTTAGAAGCCTTTCTAAAAGGAGGGAGGAAACTCTATCTGGTAGGCTTTTCCCAAATTTTTTTCAATATCTCAATTCTGCTAGAACTAGAATCCTTCAATCCATATTTTTAGCTGAAAAATTAAGTACTTTTTTCTTTCGAAGTCAAAGTAATGTTTTCTATGCAAAATTCTCTCTTGGGCCTATATTTATGATGTCATATGTTAAGGCAATTTTAGTAATTCACCATGACTTTCAGAAAGGAAGCAGTGAAGTAATTTTTTGTTTACAAATATATGATTCAGTATATAATTTTAAGGATCCATAACTGACAGCACTAAGAGAGTTACTAAAGTGACAGAAATTACTTGCTTGGTCAAGACAACTTTATGTTGATAGAGCAAATGAGGTTCTAAATAAAATCCTAAAGTATTTTCCTACAGTAGAATTTTAGGATATGTCTGTGACACACAGAATTTTTTTCCTACTCCTTGCTTCTTCGCTAACAGAGGTAAGAACAAACTAATTCAGCTGTAGATAATGGAGTATCAGCATATATGCCAGGCAATTTTCCTCTGCTTTCCTGTAAGGACAGAACATCTAGGCATCTCTCCAAAAAAGTGCTATATTCAAATATTACTGGAAGGTGTCCCAATATATTATTTGGGTTGGACATCAGAATTCCAAAATGTGTTTGTTATCTAAAGTTGATAAATATATTCATTTGTTTTCTACTTTCAAATTTCTACCACTAGCTTTTTGTTTTGAGACAGGGTCTCTCTATGATTCCAAACTGGACTTAAGTTCCCCAGACTTAACTGATCTTCCTGCCCCAACCTTGAGAGTAGCTGGGACCACACCTGGCTTAGCTTTTGATCAATCAATCAATCATCATGTATCACTGTAAAATTTTTCCTTTCATCTGATGTGCTCCTGGGAGGTACTCCTCTCACTTCCACCCCTTCCTGATTATGTTAAGAGGCACCACAGTATAAAATAATGAAGAGCTAAATCTTGTGTGTAAATAAGTATGATTTCTACCTCATGGTATGGGATCGTTGAATGAATTAAATCAGTAAATATATATAAAACAGAATAAACTAGGTGTGTTAGCTCTTATTATATGTATATTAATGAATCTGAAAATAGGATTTGAGGAATATAACTTATTTGGGGAAGTATTAATCATAAATTTGGAATCTCTGTTCATGTTTCATAAACATACATAAAAGAAAATGTTGAGATTAGACCAAAAAATATGAAATTAAAACTTTATTCATATTAATGTCCTATATGTATCTAAAACCACAGTAAAAAATGTTATTCTAGCTCATTAAAAAATAAAATAAACATTGCACAATAACAGTTAAATTGTAAATAATTATTTCCTTTCAATAATAACATTCTAGCCTCTGACTGAGTACCAATATTATCATGTAAATTCTATTCTTCACTTTGTGATATATTTCAAGATCTCTCCATAACACCCGAGGAATTCTTTTTGATGGCAATGGAACTGCTAGTATCTATAAACTCTGTTTTCCAAAATTAGTAGTGTTTAAATTATACATTTAAATAAGACAGAAATATACAGAAAGAAGAGTGTGAGTTGTAGTTGAAATAGTGAGTTTCATAGCTGGTTGCTTTAGAATCATAAGGAACTTTTTCAGAGTTCACCTAGGTCACCACCTACACTTTTTGAAGAAACCGAGGCCCTCAGATCTGATACTGACAGAACCAAGACTACAATGTATGTCTCCTGAATACCACCCAAATAAATACTACTTCCAATTATTTTCTGATCAAACTTAACCATAAATTCATATCAATTCAAAAAGGTACTATTTGCCAAAAACTAATTCAAAAGAATTATTGTCAAAAACACACATAAGAACTGTTTTCATTTAAGTAAACAGGACAGTAGTCAGCTTATTCACTTCTTATGATGTTTTTTTCAAATCCCAAATGGGAGTTACTTGTCATAAGAGATTTTTGAAATTGCTTATTTCTCTTGTGACTTTCAAATCACCCCATGCATGCTTACTCTCCTGTTCTCTCACTCAGACATACACTGAAAAATAGTGAACACTGGGAGTAAGAATTAGCGATTTACTTTCTAATCCTACAGTATTTGAGCCAGGTACATTGACAACCCTTTTCTCATCCTCAATATAACAGACAGGTAATCATTCCAACAGTATATTTTAGTTCCAATCAATCTTGGCCTATGTTTCATAAATCAGCTGAATCTCAAAAAAAGTGATCAAAAAGATTTCATATGTTAAACACAAGCCATTAGCCTCAAAAGAAAAAAAAAATCAATGTGCATATATGCATATCTATTCACTTACTAAACTTTTCCAAAGCAAACATTTATCATAAGTCATTAAAATGAGAATGGGAGACAGAACATAAAGTCAGATTAATTCATTCTATCAGTGTACAGTAGCAAAATTTTAAGAAAGTACTCATTCTGAGTCTAATTCAGTTAAAATGTACAGAATCCCACTTCAGATTTTTCAAACTAGCAATAGATGAATAATTCATAAAGGTTACCTTTGCATTGAATATTCTTTAAATTCATGTCCAAAGGAATATCTAAAACAACTTTTAAAAAACAGACTTCATGGGATAGGTTTGTCAATGTCTTGAACAGCCAGCCATTTATCTCACCACTAAAACATGACAATTGCTCTTTGGTTTGAGTAAAAACACTTTCTAAAAGCAAATGTCAATTATTTTTTAATAGGAAAAAAGCATTTAAAATCTAAAACTAAATTTAACTGGATAGCACTGCCCTGAATCCTTAAGGAAGGAACCAATATGTAAATAAGTCCTTGGAATGACAGAATCTCATAGTAAACTTCCCTTCCCCCTAAGCAAATGACTAACTAAAACAGGTAATTCTGCTTGTGCTAACATCATATTTGAGAACACTGCAACTATTTTGTAATCTGTTTTAGCCCTTACAGAAAGCTCTCTAAAATAATTCCTCTAACTGTAGCACATGTATAGGTACATGTATATGCACGTATATAATTTTTAATGCTTGCTTTTTAGCTAGAATTTGTAATCTTACTGTGTGTAATTTCCATCTCTCTAAAAACGGAGATGAAAATACAACCTACTTGTGAGCTGCTCTATGGACTAATTCAATGTTATCGCATTACTTCCTACAAATTTTCTAAACATATATAAATGACCACACTCCCAAAGTATACAAATTGAGTAGGGCAAGTGATTTTCAACTAAAAATGAAATTTCTTTTAACTGGCTGCTCATTAGTTCAAAAACATCATGTGATTCTTGCCATAAAAACGATATACTGTTGCAAGAAAGACAAGTGATCTTTGCCTACATCTATTTTTAGGAATGGTTTAATTATCTACACCCCTAGTGTTAACATAGGAAAATAAACAAATGGGTGAAAGGCGTCATAAAAAACACTCAGAAATCAAGACTTGCATAGTATTCGAAAGGAAATGAGTTCATCATGCTGTAGGCCATGGGTTTGATTCTCAGCACCACAAAATATTCAAATCCATTAAAAAATAAATGGCGATGAAGAAAACATTGAAATTCTATCTCTGGCTGGTAATTTCTTCTAACACAAGGCACCTAGAATTGCAGCAGTTTGGAAGGAACTGCTGAATTGGTCACACTGCAAGGTCCTGGGCTTAAAATATAACCAGTGAGAAAATGGCTATAGCCAATAGTTGGTTTTCTGTGAATCACTACTTTTTCAGTGTCAAAAGAAATGATTTTTTGAGGTATATAGTTACTTCATATAGGCAGAAAACATTAGTTTCCACAACAAAATAGATTACTCCTACATATTACTTGTTCTCACCTAAATATTAAGCATGGAAAACTGATCCTGATTTTCTTTTCAGACAAGAAAGGAATTAGTTAATAATTATGCCATTATTAATTACTTGGTATTAATAATTATCATAGAAAGATTAAGATTACAATTTGAAGATTGCCAAAGACACAGCTAAATATTCAGTTCCAAATTATACTTTTCTCTTGCTAAAACAGTCTGCCAATTGATTTATTTACTAAGAGCTCTGATGTGAATACGGACAATTCAGACTCTTTAGTTCCACAGATAATACGCAATGCTATTTCCTTATTCATTTTATCTGCTACTGGAACATAACTTACCGGAAAAGGAAAAATGTTGTCAGCCCTGTTCAAGCTATCTTCCATCCAGGATTTAGGGGCAAAGGCAGAGCTGGGGCGAGCATACTTCTGGAGCTGAATGTGATTGCTTGCAAAATTTTTCTTCAAAGGTGAGATGGAGTTCAGGGGTGTTATTCCACCATTCAGCCCTCTGCGGTGATCTCGGCCTTGGGAACCTCCCCAGCCACCATAACCCCCACCTCCTGGGCTCCAGGAAGAAGATGGGGTTGGAGAAGGACTCTGGTAACTGCTCCATGGAGAGGGGGGCTTGTTGAGATTATTTGCCAAATGAGGCAGCTGGTTAAAAGCAGCATTTCTGTGTGTGAAGGGTGGGGGGTGGGGACTGGCAGGAGACCTCCTTTGCTGCTGATGCTGACTATGATGATGCTGGAAATGGGGGTGATGAGGGTGGTGCTGTGAAAGAGGCCCAATCTGAGGGGAGAAGCTGCCCCCAAAGCCAGGGCTGACATGATGGGGGAAATTCTGAAATAACAGAGCACCGTTATTAGCTGAAGCTGCTGGGACCCCTCCCTGGTGAAAGAAACTTGCATCTTCATTGATTATTGTGGAGGAAGAAGGCGCTATTGCTGCTGACCAGTTACTGAAACCAGTAAGAGATGATGCACTAGATGTCAAGGGTTGAGTTGAAGTACCTAGCCCAGTGGCTTCTTGATAATCAAAACCGGTCAACACTGGTGATTCAATTCTTATTTTCTCCTTCCCACTGCCATTTTCTGAAGAATTGTCCCCTTGACTTTCTTCAGACTTTGCCTTTTCAGTTTCAGGCAGTATTCCAGCTTCCTGACCTGGACTTGGGGAGAGCTGTTGCTTTTCTAAAGGGTCTTGCTGTTCCTGTTGCTGACTTTTTGCTTTTTCAGACCCTAAGATCTCATCCTGAATATTATGGGTAGCTGGAGCAGGAAAGAGCCAAGCTGACCCAGCACTGCTGCCATTGGCAGCTGTGTTATTATTTATAAAAGCAGCAGGGCTGGGGGTGGCATTTTGGTGATGGTGTGGAGGCTGTAGATGTGGATGGAATCGGACTGGAAAAGCAGATTTATTCCCAGTATTGCTTTGAACTAGCACTCCAAACCCGTAATCCCCCATTTATTATTTTTAGGATTAGAATTTCACAAAAAATAATTGAAAACCTGATGTCTCACGCCTTTTGTCCTCTATCTCAAATTTTAGTTGTTGGTTTGCTCCAAATATTGTTTATAGTTATAGCACAAAGATTGTAGATTATCACCCTAAAGTATCTGATTTAGAATTCTGGTCTCTTTCTGGAAGAAAAAAAAAAACTAAAACAAATCTCTTAAAACGTTAACATGAATCCAATTGGGCTTATTTCTAGGAGGAAATAAAAACGAAGAGGGTAAAAATCAAGTCTTTGGTTAGTAAAATAGGCGCTTTCTTTTTCCAAAGGAAAATGTATATGAATGACAAAAACACAGCTTCTCAAGCATCTATGGATGTAGAAGAATAAGCATTGTGCGGAGTAAAAATATATATATATATATATAATTTAACAATCACATGTGGTCTTCCTCAGCAGTTTAGATTCACTCACATAAAAATTAGAATAGGACTAAGAGGAGAATATGTTCTTCTTTTCTTGGCAGCTTGGTTAAAAAATCAGGAATAATTTAAGAACATTATATATTATATATATATATCTATATATAGATAGATTATATTAGGTTATCTGGGGTGGGAGGTGAATTCCTGGTTGAGGGAGAGGAAATCAGCATTGACTAATGGAAAGATGATTGCAGGGAGGTTTCTGCTGTTCCTGGTCCTGTTTCTGCTCTTTCACAGGGTGCAGTTTTGGCCTCTGGGGCTGTTCCTGAGGCACCGGGTGCAGATCTTGCTGCGGTCGCTGTTCTTGGGCTCCCCCCCGGCCTCCTCTCCCCCATGAAAGGGGTTGGAAACACCCGTTTCTCCCTCTTGCGGGGATAGGGGGTCGTGATCTGGAGGGATTAGCGAGCCTGGACGAGGGCGGGATGGCGGCCCGGGGGTGCGGAGACCAAGGGGGCGACCTGGAAGGTCCTGCGGTTTCTGCCTCTTCCCCTCTCTGCGGCTCCGGGGTTTTTTTCCCTCATGGGACCCAGGGGCGGTTTGTTCAGTTCTCTCAGTTCAAGTCTCCGCAGGGGGAGTGGGGGAGGGAAAAAAAAAAAAGAAAATCCCACTACCGCAGTTATTCTAAAGGAGAAAGGCCTCCCCCTTGGCGCTCTCTCTCTCTTTTCCTCAGATATTTAAAAAAACTATAATTTAGAAGGCTTTTGTTTCTCCTCACGGTTGCTGGGCCGCCCTCGCCGCCGTCACCGCCGCCGCTTTACCCGGGTCCCGGAGTCCCAGCTGTCGTTGTTGCGAACTCCACCTGGCTCTTCTTTTTCTTCTCTTCTTCTTCCTCTTCTTCTTTTGCTGTCGCCGCTGTCTCCGCCGCCACCGCCTCCCTGTGCCTGGGTCCCGCAGCCGCGGCTGAGTCCTTCTCCTCAGGACCCAGCCGAGTGAAATGACAACCAGCTGGAAAGACCGAGAGACACTTCCGGTTCGAACAGGGAGGGGTGGGGTCCCGAGTACGCCCCACCCATCTTCCGAAAGACCAATAAACTGTTATGATTCAGGTGAAGCCACGCCCCCAGCTTTAGAGTCCCTCCCAGGAAGGTCAAAAAGTAACCTCGAGAGACGCCCCTTCCGTCTGCGCCTCACCCAGTGAGGCCCGTCGCTGAGAGCCGGTTTCCCCATCCCAGAGTTAGCTCAGTCTGTCGCCATCTTTTGTATGGTCAAAGGATTCCTTCGATGTTTATCTTCGCCAACTGGGCTTCGTAAGAGGGCTATATAGAAACGCGATGAATAGAATCAGCTCCTAGAAAACTACAGCATAGATTCAAGGTGTTGAAAATCGAAGCAGAAACTTGTGAAGCTGCAGACCAATGAGAGGAGTGCCCTCAATAAAGGTGGTGCCTCGAGCCTCACGTGCTCTGGACCGAGCTCCGCCCCAGAGGGATCTGGAATGGAAGGAAGAGCTTCCCTCGACTCTGCGGTGCCTAAGATTGCGTATGTCCTTACCCAGAATGTAGACCTCCCCGAGGGACTGTCCCTTACCCTCCATTTCCCACCTGTATCCCTACTGTCCCGTCTTGTCCTTGAGATGCCGAGTCTGTAAGCGTGTATGACTTGAGTCCTCATCTCGCCGTTCTAGTTTAGCTTAGACCCGATACGGAGGGACATTTCCAAAATGAAAATTCAGTCATGGCTCTTCACTCCTGTCGCTTCTATGGCTGCTTATGACCTCAAGAATAAAAGCCACAATTAGTCCGGTATTCAGTCCTTTTCACCTTGTGAGCAGTGTATTTTAACTCCTAGTCTCCCTCTCCCAGTACTTTGTCTTTTTGCATGCCCTTTCTTTGAACCCCCCACTTGGTATATCACAATTTTGCTTTAGAGTAAAAAACTACCGACTCTGTTTCAATTCTAATACAAGTGCCCACAGCTGTGTGCACACCTCGTACTAATTACAGTATATTGTAATAGTTGCATATACCTCCTAGACCTGTGCTGCCCTATGGGCTCTTTGAGGAGTGGGCATTATAGATGCCTCAATTAATGAATCCTGAAGACATGAATGGACAAACCAGCGACAGTGAAGTCTTTCCTAAGTAACAGCTCTTATTTTCAGGCTCAATTAATAATTTACTTCCTTATGCCAATTTGGTTTGGAACTCACATCACAAACTTTCATCATTCAGGTTCTTTCTTTGCTGTTGCTCTTTGTCTTGTTCATCTTTCTACATTCCCACCACTATGACTATCAGGACCTAGGATAATGCCTTTCTTTCAGCACTAGCTCTAAAGATCTTAATGAGAGTTTTTCCTTAGCAGAAAATGAAAAATGGGAGAAAAACATCCAAGGTATAGCCAAAAGTGACTGGTAAAAACTAGGGGAGGGTAAGAGTAAAAAAGAATCTTATCAACAAAGGTGGCTTCCATTTCATCTCTCTAGCCCTCTTCAGTGGCCCTAACTTTTTTACCTCAATCTCTTGATTCTCCAAAACTTCTATGTAGCTCACCTATGTGTGTCCATAATTAGTGATTTTATTCTCTTTCATTGTATCCTAAGCATGAGTTTTATTCCTGCAATTCTATGAGTTCCTTCAGCATAGGCATTGGGTCTTACTCTGTTGTTTATTCCCCACTCTCAAACATGCCTTGAGACTTCCCCAGAATGATTTCCCTGCCTGTCCCTTTCTCCAGGCCTTGTAGATTCCTCTTTCTTGAGGGCAGAAGCTATGTCTGATTTGTCTTTTATGTCCCCAGTGGCCAGCAGAGCATCTGACATGGAGCAGATACAGGACATGTTTATTGAATGAATGGATGGATCTTCCTTGCTTAGGCGATGGTGAGTTTCCCTTGCAGCTACCAATTCTCAGCAGCTAAAGTGGCAGCCATTATTTGGAGAAAAAGGACTATCTTTGCAATTTAAGAGCCCTGAATTTGAATCCTAGTTATCACGTGTCATGATGGGTTCTTGTTGTGGGGCCCTGGGCATCACCTTTATAAACCCTCCTTCATAGATAAAATATGTATATTTATGATATTTCCCCCCTTAAGTAGGCTATATAAGATACATAAGTGTTGGGATGCCTTATTAACATGGGAAGTGCAGAGAAGTACTTCACAAGTGTCTTTTGATTAGAAGCAGTTGAATGCGTGAGGAAAACCTGGAAACTGTCTTAGTTTGTAGAAGGCATGCCTTGAGCCACAGTTGGATGCTTCCAGGTCAGGGTGATCTTGTATAGTTAAACCAAGTGCAGGTAGTAAGTTTGAGCTGGGCTGAAACTAGGATGATTATTGAAGTCATTCATTAGTCAGGCTCCTGAATAGGTACAGGGAGCAGGATAAAAGAAACAGAATAAAATCTTAGGTCTGTGGCCTAGTCAGAAACCCAAGATACACAGCCCAAGGCTGCCCTTGTTGAAAACATTATGGCTTCAAAAACTGTATCCTGGTAACTGTGACAACAACTCAGCTCCATTTAGGATCTCAAAAGGAGGGTTCTACACTTGCTGATTAGTGCTGGCTGGAAAACTGCTGGCAAAAGAGAGCCCTTTCTATGGAGCATATTCATCCGGAAGCTTTCAGATTCCATAGAAAGCAAGCTCTGCCCAAACAATAAAGTGCCACAAATTTTTTTTTTTACATTTTCTTCTTGTCTAATGCACAGATATACAAACATACCTTCAGAAAAGTTGTATGCTGGGGAATGCCTATATTTTGTTGGCTGTTGCCCAGTCCCCTCTGGAATTTGAGGTCAACCACACCCTGAACCTGGAACCTCCTAGGAATCAGAGCCTTACCATCTCCTTCACCAGCTCTTTTAAAACTTGATAGATAACATAAATCTTACCTCTAATCACCTAGGCTGAATTCTGCCCCACTCTAACCCTAATGTCCTCCACTACTGTCTCTGAAGTACATATTGTCAGTCTTTTCCCATCAGCCTACACCTAACAGCTATCAAATGACTGAATCAGAGTGACTACTCAAGGAGGTTCATGTGTATTATACGACTCCATAAGCTACCATAGACCCTATTTGAATACTGCCCACTGGATCTGTACAGTGTTCCAGTCATGCTGCATTTCATTTCCATAATGTAGGAACATATTTTAAAATATGACACCCTACAGAGCGAGCCACCAAATATTACTATAAATGACACAACTACATGCTTATTGCATGCAGAAATATTAAAAGCAGTTGATCCTTTTAGAGTTAGTGTCCCCAGAGCTTTCTGTAACTAGACTGAAGGACACAGTGTCCTGGATATGGGTTAGTTAGTGAGCTGTAGTGAGAAGACAAGTCTGGACATGTATATGGTCCAGTCCCCCAAGAGATTAATTCTCAGCAGCAGTTTCTTTGCTTGGCAACATTTAATAAGCATTCTAATGTAGTGCTGGAATTTTTTTTTTTTTCAGTGAATCTAAGAAAATATTCAAAGGCCAGTCCTGTGAAGGAAAGGGGAGAGAAGATTGAATTACTTTTGGAATACTGTTTTCCAATAGTGCAGGGAAGCTCCCTACCATAATGTAAGCCAGATAGAAATTCAACGAAGTCTCAAGGGCAGTGTGCACATTTACTTAGCACCATTTTTTTAAACAACTAATTGCTGGGTTATATTTTCTTCTTTTGTTTGTTGTTTTGCAACCTGTGCAAGCCTTCTGCCTTTAACCACTGTTTTCCTCTTTCCTTCCCATTTGAGATATTATCATTAACATAGAGTCCATAGTTAACAAGTCATTTTGGTAGGGAGTGGTGAAGCCAGTTCTTCCAATTCATTGTTACTGAATAACTGGTTTGGAAAGGTCCAGGGCACAGACATGCTTCACTTGAAATGGCCATGTCCTGGCAAAAGATTTAGGTGAACTGGAGCAGCAGGTTGACCTTCCACACTGTAACATACATCACAGGGGATGACTTGGATTCTTTTGTGGCTCCAGTTCCTGTGGAAGGGCTGCTGACCCAGATTACTCCTTGCTGCTTTGACTGGGTACACTTGCTTCCTCTATGAAAACACCACGGTCATGCCACCAATCAGCTGCCATCTCACACCTGTTGCTGGGCTGGAGGATTTTTCACCTGCCAGGCCAGGAAAAAAGTACTTTTTCAGAACATAGAGAGAAGCTGTAGGGTCCAGAAGATAGACAACTATGAGTCAAACATAAAAATTGTAACCTCAGTATAATCATAAACTCAGACACTGGCCTAGTTTGTCTGATGATTTCCTTATTGACTAGAATTTTACTAGGAGAAGAATTTCACTTCAGTATTTTTAAGCAAAAAAAAAGAAAAAAAGAAAGAGCAGGCAAAATTATATGTTTTTTAAAAAAACACTAAAATAAATCTGAACATAAAGTCAAAATTTCTTGCTCCCCTGTCCTTCAAGTATACGTGTTACTAAGGAAGAATGGTAAGAATTGATTCCTAATTTTTCAGCCTCAAACTTTAGAGTGCATCAGCCCCAATGGGAATTCATTAAATGCACATTCCCAGCAAAGCCACCAAGATACAGAGTACAGTATCTTGCATTTATCTCATAGTATTTTCTCATAAATTATAAGTATGGAGAGTTCGCATAATGTAAAAGCACAGACAAAATGAAATAAGAATGACTAAAACAAAATCAGACAAATCAGACATTTGTCACATAAAAGAAATTGGGGACAGTTAACACACAGCTGGTGGATGATTTCCAGTAGTGATCAGAAGCTCAGGTACCTTCTATTGCATTGTTTTTCCTCCTATAAATGTGTTTTCCCCTTAAGACTCAAGATAACTGAACCCCAGCCATCATGTCTATGTTCTCAACTAAAGGACAAAGGAAAAGATGAAGAAAGATTTAACCATTTTTACTGAGGAAATTTTTCAGAAGACGTATGCTTCACTTCCATTCTCTCTTTTGGCCACAACTGGACCACATGGCCATACCTAGTGGCAAAAGTGGTTAGAAAATAGGGTCTTTATTCTGGGCTCTTAGGTACCAAGTTAAAAATTAGGGTTCATTGCTATGGAAAGTAATAGGAGGAGATGGATAGGTGGGGGTGGTACGCTAAGACCCACCAAGTTTTATTGACAGACTGTGGGTCTCATACTGTAGGTCTCAAGTCAATATCCTTATTTTGTGGCTGAGGAAACTGAGACCCAAGGGAAGATCTCCTGTAATACAACCCAGTTGTTTTTGCCCAATTATTTTCACCCAGAACTCCTTTGCCTGCCCAGTGGCACTCATATTTTACCATGCATCAGAATCACTTGAGGACCAGTTAAAGTAGACTAGAATTTGTGACTAAACAATGTGTTAGTCAGCTTTCCATCACTGTGACAAAATACCTGAGAAAATCAACTTAGAAGGAGGAAAGGTTTGTTTTAGTTATGTTTCAGAACTTTGAGTCGAGGTTTGCCTGGCCCTGTAGCGTTGCGCCACAGGACATTACAGTACATCATGGTGTTAGTGAATGGCAGAGCAGCTGCTTACCTTGTGGAAGCAGGGAAGTGAAAAAGAGGAAGGAGCTGTGGTTCCAGTGTCCTCTCTCATGGCACCCACAGGTCTAACTTCCTTCCACTTTGCTCTCAAATGTCCCATCACCTCCAATAGTGCCACAGGCTGGTGAGCAAAACTTTAGCACATAAGCCTTTGGGTGACATTTAAGATACAAACTAAAACAAGTAAGTATGAGAAAACAAAGAATTTGTATTTCCAGCAAGTTTCAAGTGATGCTGATGCTGTGTGTTTAAAGAACACTCTTTGGAAACCTGTAGTCTAGTATATTCAGGTCTAGGTTTAACAAGGCATTCAATTCAGTGTGGCCAGCTCTACCCATGTCTCTCCCTCCTCCTCTCCTTCCCTCCTGGCCCTACTCCTCTCATTTTCCCCAGCTGATTTAATGGTTCCATGATTCATTGTTTCGGTCAACTATGCCAAATTTAGGAGTCATCCCAAACTCCTCCCTCTCCTCCATCCTCCCACAATTGGTCCATAAATTGTCTTTTTCTCTCCTAAGCATCTCCTTTTTCCCTTTACCTCCTGTGTGATTCTACTCTGATCATTTTTCAAATGAATTTTTTTTCAAAAGGCATCTTCAGGTTAAAAGCCAGGCCTTGTTCACTGAATCTTCCTTATGTAGAGTCTTATCATATTACTCCATTCTTTAAACACTTTCAGTTGCTCCTTGATATATTCAACTTTATTTTCAAACTTCCAAGATTTGTGTTTCACCATCACATTTTTTTACCATATTGGTGTAGCTTCTTTACTGTCAAAGTTGGCTTTTTAAACATTTTAAAAGTAATTATGCATTCAAAAAACTTGATTTCTTACCCAAAACAAAGAACCAACTGTAACTTGCTGTAACTAAAAGGTAATTATCAAAATTAAAATAATGAAAACAAAAGAATAGTATTGACTTTCCCTTAGATCTTGTATTCAATACAAAGGCCCCAAATTTGAGTCTTTCCTTCTCTTTATTGAAACAAAACAGTTGGAGAGAGGTGTAAAAGACTTTCCAACTTTGCCTTGTCTGTGTGCCACTTAAAGTCATCTTATGTACCACACTGGAAGGCACCCATAATTGTTTGGAAACCATCACTAGCAGGGTTCTCATCAGTCCAGCCCCTGCCGGAGATTTCAGGACCATGTCTTGTCATTCTCTAAGAGCAATGCTCTGAGCACCCTGAAAAACTTGTTTCCACAAACTTAGCAATCAATCAGTCATGGCTGCTATTGGCTCCAAGAAACAGGACACATAAGCAACAATGCCTGACACAATTAGAGGTTATTTTTCTCATTCATCAAGGATAGAGGTCAGGAGGCTGAGGCAAGATGATTACAACTGTGAAGCCAAGTTGGGCAATGTAGCAAGACCCCTGTATGGGGGTGGGGGTGACAGTAGCTCAGTGATGGAATGCTTGCCTAGCATGCTCAAGGTCCTGAGTTCAATTCCAAGTACTACCAAAAAATAAAAGAAGAAAGAGAAAGAAAAAGGAGGTGGGCAACGCGTGAAAAAGAGGAAACAATAACTAGAGGTGAGTAGTTGCTGATGCCAGCAGGCCAGTCATGTCAGGGCTCTGGGTTGGCATCTCTGGATGTTCTTGGCCTTCCCTTCAGAGTCTCAGTGTTTGCCGCAGTTCTCATCTTCAAAAGCAAGAGATAGAAGTCTGCAAAGAACCTGGAGTTCCTTGTCATGAGCTTTCTTCTGATCAAGAAAAAAAGGCCTTTACCAAAAGTTGGTCCACATACAACTGGGTCATATGCCTCGATCTAGAAATTCCTGGGCTCATCTTCCTCAAGACTAAAACATGAACAAAACCAGGATTCTGCTGGCAAAAGAGAAGGGGAGGTCCTTGGAGGAGTGAACCAGTGTCTCCCATGCTCACCACGTACTCACTTTAGGCTTTTTTGTGCATATCTGCTTGCCAAGAAGATCTACTTTTTTACCCCCTCTGGGGAGAGCTCCTTAAAGGTCCTTCACTTGACACCAGAAGTGGTGTCTTCAAAGGCAGCACAAACATTGGCCCATAATTCATTTTTATGTAATTAACTATTTAAATCCCACCCTATAGAATTGCTAATCCCGGTCAGAAACTCTTCTCTTTTCTATACCTATACCTGGTATTATGCCCAGCACACAGTAGTCCTTTAATGTATGTTTATTGAATTAAAATTAAATTAACTTTTTTTCTTTTTCTATACAAGACACAAGTAAGTCCATAGTAATACATATTGTGTTGAATTTAGTGACAAACATACTTTGGAGCATTTTATAAATAGTACTCTCAATTTATTGTTTTATGGTTTTTTTATTTGAAGGGGAAATACAGTAATTTCCTAACAGTATGTATGAAGTAAATATTGGCACAAAACTTCTACAATACTGTGGATCTTATGGCAAATCAGTCACTGTAAATCCTGGAGCATGATTTTGTAAACAGTAAACCATTTCAATCTTGTGCTAAACACATTAAACAGGGTAATAGCTTCATTTGGCTCAGCCATCTTAGGTACAGTGCTTCAATGGCATTAAGCTAGTCTTTATTGCTATCTCTCGATGTTAAACAGCTCCTTAATGAAGTGGCTTCCCTTAAAGCCATTGGCTAGTGCATGCATGTAGACACACATCCACACTCATAAAGTTACCACCTCCCTAACACAATTGCAGAGGAAGTAATTATCTGTTATTAATAAGGAATATCACATACAAGTGGATGCACCAGTTTCTAATACAGTTGGGTTGATAATCAGTAATAGGCTTCTTGAAATGACCTAGGCCCCCAGAAGTACCTTCGCATCCAACAGCCCATGTTAAATATAATAAATGCATAAATAATTTAGCAAGGGAAATAGGTAGCATTATGGCCACACTTCTGTGCTGCTGTTATTTAAAAGCCTGGCAGCTTGGTAGTTAGAAACCACTATGTCCAGGGGTGTTGTAATTCACCATTTGCTCAGAGTTGAAATGAGGCAGAGGAGTGCTCCAGGCCCCTAGCTCATTTTTTATTTAGAGGCAATTTTTAATCCATTCAACCATTTAAGTTCCAAAAATAGAAATGGAAAAAAATAAATATGCTTTAAATTTAGTTTAGAGACTGTTTTGAAGTCTTCATTAGGCAGGGTGTGTGGTACAATTTTTAAGCAACATTCTACAAACCTGTAACTGCATGGTGAAAATTTAAAACTTAGTTTAATTGTGTGTGTGTGTGTATGTGTGTGTGTGTGTGTGTGTGTGTCTGTCTTCATTTTGAATCTATATCTGGTGGTTCTGAGGCATTGTTTTTCTGAGGCATTGTTTTTCAAATTCTACTTTTTATTTACAAGATATATATTTTATACTGTATTGTTGTATGACTTTTATTTATTGCTTGCCTAAAATTATTTGTAAATTGACTCACATTTTTAGAATGTAAGCAAATAAATTCAAAGGAAAATTTTATATCACTAATATAAATAGAAAAATCCATATAATGTGCCATGAACAAATGTCGTCAGTAATTTTTTTCTAATATATGCTGAAATAAATGCATATTGAGCCCAGAAAATATCCAAAAATCAAAATAAGACCTTGTTCCTCTGTGTTCTGTCTGCCTCAAGGACATTTAGGGAATCACTGTGTACTGGTTAAGAACACAGACCTTTCAAATTAAGTAAGATTGGATCAAGTCCCGCCTTTGCCATTTCCACCTGAATGATTTATGACAAGGTCTTCTTGTCTCTCTGGGCCTCAGTTTCTGCACCTGGAAAATGAGGATAAAAATGGTTGAGCAGTTGGTTGAGAAGATTAAATTAAGTAATTCAAATAAAGGTCTTAGTACAGCATTTATCAGTTGAGTGCATAATAAATGTCAGCTATAGTTATCATTTTTTTTTTTTTTGGTACCTGGGATCAGTCTCAGGACCTTGCATTTGCAAAGCAGATGGCTAAATCCCCAGCCCTATCATTAATTTTTTGATTTGGGAGACATGGGTCATATTAGAGAAGCAAACACCAGTGAATTCAGTTCAGGAAAAGCAAAATGTATGAGGTGTGTACATGTGACAATTTCTGTGGCAGGCCCTATGGACACGGAGATAATTCTTGAAGTGACAGCCACATACAAAGACAATGACAGCAGCGTATGTGCATTGCAGTGAAAGCCATGTGCCTAGGTTCAGATGGCAAGTTAAAGAAGAACATCATTAAAGTCAGTATTGAGGAAGAAGAATGTGCAGATCTATGTATCAGGCCCTTCCTGACAGTTGTTAGGGAAATACATTAGTCCTGGAAGATGCCAAGTAAATTGAATTTCTACTGGGGAACAGAAGATGCATGAAATTCAAACATACAAACTTCATGGAGCACTATCATCATTTACTTATAGATTCAAGTGACATGAAAGAATTGGAGGATATTATTTTCAAAATTGAACAGTAGTCAAGCAAAATGTAAATGGAGTTCTAATTTTCTAACCCTTCTGATTTTCACAGAGGTCACATGCAAATAGTTCATAAAAACAGTTGGCCCTCCATATCCATGGGTTCAATCAACAACACATCAAAAATATTTAGGAAAATAATTGCATCTGTACCTAACAAGTACAGACATTTTTTTCTTGTCATTTTTGTGTTAACACAGTATTGCAGCTATTTACATAGCATTTATACTGTTTTGATATCATAAGTAATCTAGAGATGATTTGAAGTATACAGAGGGACATACGTAGGTTTTTTGCAAATACCATGCCATTTTATAAAAGGGGACTTCTGTACTTGGCCTCCAAAGTTTACCAAATATTATGAACAGACTGGCTTTTTCTCCATGTTGCCTGGCCTCATTGGTATTTGAATTTGTGGCTTTTACTGAGGAGGAACTTCTTGAGGGTATGAATTGTACCTGAGTCATTTATTGCCTTATCTCCTGCCCCAGTGTAGTCCCCGGCTCATCCCAGGTACCCAGTTAATATTGATTGAGTAACTAATTAGAGAGTTGATATTTTTGGTTAGTTGTTTTATAATTACTCTCCTATCTATATGCATGCACATCACTTAAGATTTTCTCTTTAGAAGGTTGAATAATGGCTGAAAATGTTGTGGTTATTTCTATTTCTCTGATTAAATATGTTAATATACATGAAAAAATAATGTACTAGTATGTTAGTTAATTTTTTTTTAAAAGAAGAAAACTAATTCATACATAATCCTAACTCCACTGGAGCAGCCATTAACATTTTTTTTTTTGTACCGGGGATTGGGATTGAACTCAGGTCCTTCACTTGTGAGGCAGGTGGCAGAATGGCAGAACCACTGAGCTAAATCCCTGGCCCAACATTTTGATATATTCATTTCTAGTCCTTTTTTTTCTATATATTTCTTGTCATAGTTGAAAGCCTACTGAGATTTATGACAATACTCACCATATTCTTAACTGCTTGAACATCTTTTTCTGTCATTTGCTGAGATGTATTTTTAAAGATAAATTTCATGTAATCCTTCTGGATTTCATGAAGAACATTGAATATTATAAACACTTTCCAGAGAAGTAAATGTTGCTCTAAATTTTTGTGCATGTGAGAGTTTGTGATTTACGTGCTAACTATGCACTATTTTTATTAAGATGTTCAATATTGAGGGTTAATAATTAGCCATCTAATTTCTGTATATATTAGTTCCTCTCCTTATAAAGCTAAGTGCCATACATACACTTTTGTCATTTCACTGGTCCACAAATACTTAATAGGTGACACCCAGTGCCATGTGACACTGAGGACGCAAGGCTGTTTTAAAACCAGAGGGATGCCAATTTCAAATTGCAATAAGCATGAGAGTCAAAAAGTAAGGGTGTCATGGGGACACTGAAGGAAGGCTGCCTTACTCAGCTGGTCTCCAGGAGGGTTTCCAAAAGAGACATTTGAGTGCTATCTGGAAGGATGAGCAGGAGTTTGGTGGGTGCTAAAAGGAATCAAGTGTCAAGTTGGGGCTCCTGAGAGAATGGGGCTGTGAAGGGGAAAGTACCTAACCTACATTCACTGGCTGTGTACTACAGGTCAGGAACCATGCTGGGTCCTGAGGAGATACAGGTGGATGGGCTGATAAATGGAAGATGTGCACAGATCTTTGAGTGACACCCTACTAACAGAATACATCAGAATTGCATTCTTAAAAATTAAGCCTAAATCCAAATCATTCTAGAACAACTCTAATAGAGTTCATTTAAAAGTCCCATAAAACTTGACAATATCTATTAAAATTAAAAGTGTGCATATCTCATGATCCAAAAATTGATAGTTTCAAGTACAGGAAAAAATATTTGTTCAAATCACTTGTTCATGTAAAAGGGTACTTAGCAGCACTGTAAAAATGAAAAGATGTTGTTGACACAAATCTGCATACATAGAAAAATGGATAAATAAACTAGTCTGTAGTTTAAATATCCTGTCAAAATGTATAGAAAGTTTAAAAGTGTAAACATATATACATACATATATATATGATATATATGTATATATATATGAAGTTTCAAGACAACTGAAGGAAATAAGTCACAACACATATGCAATATGATACCTCATGTGAAGATATCTATACACAAGATACATATTTTCTAGTTAAAGAGATATGTAAGCTTTTATTAGATTATATATATATAATCTTATACAAGAACACAGGTAACTAAGTAAATGCATTGCTAAGAGGACTTTTGTTAAAATGAAAATTGTGGCTCCTTCTGAACGTTTTAGAGATTAGAAGAGGTAGTGAAAAGATTGATGTAGACCTTGCCCTTCTAAATAGTTTGCAAAAACTGTGTATTCCATGAATCACTTGTGCAGTTAAATATTAATTAAAACGATAAAAATGGCCTAACTTTTGGACTAAACCAGTACTACCTATTTGGAAACAAATTGAGCAACATGAAACTAGACACTCTAAAATATTCCTACCCTGTGACCCAGTAATTTTCCTTTTAGAAATTCATCCCAAAAAAATAACTACAGGTAGAAGCAATTATTTTTACAGAAAGTTGTTTAATGCAGGATTATTTATAATGGTGAAAAAAACAAGAACCATCTAAATTTATTCAACAATGGATGAAAGATTAAATGCTAAGTTTACCTGGTAGGATTTATGTAGCCATTAAATCTTCCTGGTAGAAGATTTACTGATTTGTAAAAAAGATTAACAAAGTAATATGAAGAAGGAATATAAAGTGTGAAGGTGATATGATCTTAAAAATTACATATCCAAATACACATGTACATGTTCTGCAGGGGACAGGGAGGTGATCCAGGACAGCCATTTGGCCAGGGCTCATGCTCTTGATTTAGACTTTTGACATAATCTCTAAATGTAGTTACACAAATAAAGCAGAGGAATATTCTAAATTCAGTCCCATACTGCCCACACAGACACACTCTTGCTATTTCTCACATGACTTTGATGGCTGTACATACACATTTAAAATGCACCATTGTTTTTTAACCTGTTTTAGTATTGCTTCATATTCATACCCAGAGTTTCACACACAGGAAACTCAACTGCTCCCCTGTCTGAGCCAATATAGGGAACTGTTCTGACACAGATACAAAGGGCCAGAAGGAAATATTCCAAGTATCAGTGCGTATTCTGGCTGTCTCTTGGTAGAGGGATTTTAGATTTACTTTTAGTGGATAGTTTTCTTCTTTCTAAATTTCCTCCAATGTGCCTGTGTATTTATGTCATAGTTTAAAAATAGTGCCTCCAGTGAAAATTAAAAAAAAAAAAACAAAAAACAAAAGAGGAAATGTCCTCTTTTAAAACACAAAAGCAACGCCTGGTTCTAGAATGTGCCACATCAGGATGTCCCTGGGCGGAGACCTAGGCAGACTGGCTCCAGGGCTGGACAGAAAGAATGTAGTTAGACCTTGTCCCAATGTGTCACAGAAAGGCCAATGGTCACTCCTCCCCACACCCCAAGTGGCACTCCTAGGTAAGGGCAGAGCAGTTGTCAACTCGGGGCAGAGATGTTCTGATTTCAAACTGGTCCCCATGTTTGGAGGGGCTAGCAAGACAATCCTGGCTCCTGTGGACTGGGAGACTCTAGTTCCTGCTTCTGTGACTCTAAATCAGTGTACATGAAAGCATTTCGGAGGCAAGGGCGCACACACACACACACACACACACACACACACACACACGTGAAGGACCAAATAGTGCACTCAGGTCAAGCTGATAAAAAACAAGCCCTTTATCAGGGGACTTAAGAACAGAGGACTTATTTGCATGACAGACAAGCTACACACAGGATGCTAGGCACAACAGAAAAGACATGAAGCACTAGATTACAGAAGAATTTCTTATTAATGGAGATGAATGTCTCTCTCTATCTCTATCTCAGTGTCTCTCTTCCCCCTCCCACTCCATGGTGGGTATAGAGTCCAGGGCCTCATGCATGCTAAGCACCTGTACATGCTCTACCACTGAGCTACACTCCCAGCCCAGGGTCCCTTACTTAGTCTTAATAGTTTCAGGGGTGTGTGTGTGTGTGTGTGTGTGTGTGTGTGTGTGTGTGTGTGGTGTGTGTGTGTGTGTGTGTGTGTGTGTGTGTGTGGATATAAAAAAAAAGGGTGTGTGTGTGTGTGTGTGTGTGTGTGTGTGTGTGTGTGTGTGGTGTGTGTGTGTGTGTGTGTGTGTGTGTGTGTGTGTGGTTATATCCAAAAGTGAATACTTCTCACCACCACTACCTTCCATCCCAGCACCCAAGCCTTTTTCTCCACAATTTCTT